GCTCCCTGGGACCAAGCTTTGTAAATATAATACAGTAATGATACAATCACCCCAGAGACAGTATTTCATTCAAAATAACTGACATGCACATAATATATAGAAACAAAATTGGCACTTAATAATGTATACCACAAAGAATCTGTCCTAGTATAGACTGTTATTTTGCATTTAACATTTATGTTACTTTTATGACTAATTTCTTAAGATTCATTTTTCTGTCATAATCTTGGTCTATAATTACTTCCGTGAATGTTGAAAATTATGTGATATTTACAAAATAGTGACATCAGCAGCCAAAATAAGAGCTTCTAGACAATCATTTCCTTCCTCACATCATTTAACTCAATGTTGATTGCAGATGTTTCCAAAAAATTAGGATGTGCTTATATCTTAAACCAGATTAAAAATATTGACAAACCTGTAACTTTTAACACTTTTTTCTCTTTAGTTAGTTTTCATGCATCATTTCACCATGTAAATTATATATCAGTCATCTTTTCAAATAGTAAGGTATATACAATTTTGAAAATTTCATGAACAGGAAAAAAAAATTTAAACATAAAATAAAAATGGATAAAATCTCATTAGAACTAAGATTTTGATTGTTTTTAATATTTTTTAATCAGTAATCTTTATTATAAAATTCTCAAAATTCATAGAACTGTAGATCAAGATTACTACATAAAAGATGTCTTAAAAATTAATTATAAAATGAACGTAAATGTTAAATACAACGTTAAAAGTCTATACTAGGACATCTTCTTTGTGGTATACAATGTTAAGTCATAAAACATTCTCTTAGTTAGACTAAAAAGGATGGTACATACAGCTGCTATGTTGCAAATTCCCAAAATAAGCCCAGGGATTGAGAAATGGGGGAATATTTGATTCATAGACCTTCTCCAATCTAAACTTTCAGAATTCAGCTGCAGTGTTTTTTCAGTTATATATTCAAGAGATGTATGGTGATGTCTCAGAGTATCTTACCAAAATGGAGAATTACTTAGGAACATAGAAAATGTCATTACTTTCAATAGCTGTCCATAAACAAGATTATCTATTTGAACCAAAGCCCAGATGAATCATGGACACGGGAACAGTATATTTATTTATGTAGACAAGTGTAAAATCATACATTTTTATTAGTTCAATAAGTTAATCACATTTCACTCCCAAGAAGGCATTTCCGAACCTTCCAAATATGCTCTAGCCAGAGGTGAAAGTATATATATCAGTACTAAAGTCCAAATGGTTCTATTTTTTTTAAGTTCAGAGTGTACTGAATCTCTTCATTTCTTTGGGGGGGGGTAATCATAATTAATTTCAAGCAGTGACAGACAACTCCCAGATGAATAGTTTTTATGAACTCTGAACTGACTTTGCATTCTTCCCTGGAAAAGATTAATGTCAGGTAATTGACAAGACCACAGCATAAAACCATTTCAGAATAATAATGTTTAATGATGCCTTAGTGTTTGAATGATCCCTTTTGAAATTCATGAATGTTGTGACCTTCTCACTTCAGGAAATAGTTCTGTGGAAAGGAAACTTTCATCTCTGTACTTCACTGTACATATCCTAAATGAAAGCCAGCCATACAGAGAACAGGACAATATTCATAAACTTTCTATTGAACTCTGATCTTGGCATATCAGAGATATATACTCTGTATAAGTGAAGAAAATAAAGATTTTCTTGCAATGGCAGGGAATGTTTTTTATCCCCCTCTAATTGTCATATGACAATTTGTCCTGTTCTAGGAATCCTCATGCAGGAAAATATGGAGTGTGAGTACATTTACAAGAAAATTGTGTTTTATTCATGATAGTAATGCCAAGCCACTGCACATGACTTTGTTGTAGTTGCAGTTTCATCACCCTATTCTTCCTTTTAATATGTGCTACTCTTGATGAAGACTATTGGCAATCTTTTATAATGAACATTTTATGATTAAGTTGAATTAAAACTGCTTCTGAAATAAATGGGGCTTAGAAAAGTTTATAGCACATTCCTTATAATCAAGCCTATTGAAATGTGTTGCCAGAGTAAAAGATATTTCTTTAAGATTAGCCACAGGATTTGCTATAGTAGATGAACATAAAATGAGGGGTAAGAAATGTTCAGATTAACTTCCGTGGCATAATTTTATTTGCACAAAGCAGCTCTTTAATTCTGGATCTGTAAAGAGAATGTACTAGGGTTTCCCAGACTAATAGTAAATATTTATTTTGGTGACATCTAGTTTAAGGTAATTGACCGCCCGCTGCCAATTACCTCCACCAGACCGATTAGATCGCACAGAGCAGGCCTCCTCCGAATTCCATCCGCCAGCCAGTGTCGACTGGCGCCTCCCCGGAGGAGAGCCTTCTCTGTGGCTGCTCCGACCCTCTGGAACGAACTCC